TGACACACAATGGCATTCAGTTCCAAGCAGGAGAACAAGAGAGTGGTGGGTGAAGGAGTCATCAAGCAAAGCCAAAAAGTTGCCTAGGCTGCTCACACTTTGCAGAGCTTCATGGTCCCAATGTTTTGTTGAAAACTGTATCTGTTGGTATGCATTCTCTGCCACGTGTCTAGCAAAACTGGAACAAAATACGATCGCTGCACAGAGGATGAAGACAGCTGCGCAGAGGAAAGCGGAGTTGTGCGCATGCACCCAACTTAGCGGGAACCTTGCTTGTCTCTCTTTTCTTCCCCAGAAAATCACAGATAACATTAAAGGGAAAGTGTGCAGCATGGCTGTGTGTGCCGTGGCCTGGCTCGTGGCCCATGTCCGCATGCTGGGGTTGGATGAGCGAGAGAAGTCCCTGCAGATGATCCGGCAGTTAGGGACTCCCTTATATGGGGAAAATACCCTACAGTTCTATAGTGAGAGGTGAGAACTACCTGTGTGGCTTATCCAGGTGCTGGGAGGAAACAGGGTGCTATTTTTAGGGTATAAAATCTAGCAAAGGTCTGTGCATGTTTTGCTTACATGCAACGTTCTCTCTAATTTTCAGTTCCGCTGGGTGTGACTCTGTCCCCCTCTCATGCGACTTCACACCCACCCACACCCATGGGGTTCTGTTGTGACCAGAACCAAAGGGGCTGAAGACAATCAGCGTGGGTGTGTGGAAGAGGAGGAATGTTGTGCAGAGGGAGGTGGAGTCATGCGTACTCACCTTAGAGGGAACCTTGCTTATATGTATGATTGTGATGCTACCTTGATGGTCAGAGCTTAAAGTCTGTTTCAGAAGGCTGCATTCAGCCTCCTAAAAGATAGCTGTAATGTTAAAGTATTTTGTATTCACACCTTCTTTCACCTACATTTGAAAGTGATGTGCAACTGGATCTGATTTTATTACTCCTCAGTCATGTAGGCTATAGTTTCAAGGAACCTTCTCCTGCTTCTTTGTGCTGCATTTGTTTGGATTTTTTTAAGGGGGGGTCACCAGTATTTCCCCTACAATGAGCTCCAGGCAGTGCACATGGGTTTCTTCCTTGCCCCCAGTCTTTCCTCATAACAGACCTGTGAAGCAGATAGAGTGAGAGGAAGTATCATTCATCCAAGTTTACTCAGGTTTTCATGCCAGGAGGGGATTTTCTGGAACCTAGCCATTGGTAAGTAACAGTTTAATACTTTCATCTTTCTTTCTTCTATTGTCCAGAGTGTTGATCATGAGTTCAATTCTTGAGCATATGTGTGCTGACGTTGTGCAGCAGACAGCTGCACAGATCAAATTCCCAGCAACAGGAGTCGACCCCATGCCCTACTGGAACCTCCTTCCACCCAAGAAGCCCATCAAAGAAGTGCTGATGGGTGTCTTCTCCAAGGTGCTGGAGAAAGGCTGGGTGGATAGCCGCTCCATCCATATCTTCGACACCCTTCTGCACATGGGAGGAGTCTACTGGTTCTGCAACAACCTTGTTAAGGTATGTGGCGGCAGAGGAACAAGCGGTGATGCTTTATTTTAATGATTTGGCAAATTCTTTGATTAAAGGTTGATAGTGACCACCCGTCACTATGATTATGTATCATCTTTGGTAACACATTCTGTGGACTTTCCAGAGGGGAATGAGCTAATTAACACTACACTTGATAGGCCTTTAGTCTGGTGTCTATATCTGTGTCTGTGTATATTTCCATAAACGTGTGTAGTATATGCATAGTGTGCGTATATTTCACATGTTTGTTGCAATGGACTGAGGTAAATCTTCAAAAACAGCAGTATATAAACAGTGGGAGCAGCATCCTAAGCACCTTTCTATAGTGGCAGTGCATTTCCAGTGCCTCTTCTGGAGCATTTGACACCATAATGTATTTCAGGAAAGAGTATGTTTCTCTCGTTTTGACCGTGCCACTCTGGTGCTATAACTTCTCATAGCATTTTGGTAACTGCGATGCTAAAGACCATCCTAAGCACCTTTCTATAGTGGCAGTGCATTTCCAGTGCCTCTTCTGGAGCATTTGACACCATAATGTATTTCAGGAAAGAGTATGTTTCTCTCGTTTTGACCGTGCCACTCTGGTGCTATAACTTCTCATAGCATTTTGGTAACTGCGATGCTAAAGACCAAAGCTAAGTTCTTCTCCGCCCCATTGGATGCATTGTTTCCTCTTGTCTTTTAGGAGCTCCTGAAAGAAACAAGGAAAGAGCATGCAATACGAGCTGTGGAGTTGCTGTACTCCATTTTCTGCTTGGACATGCAACAGCTGACGCTCACCCTGCTGGGACACATCCTGCCCAGTCTGCTCACAGACTCCTCCAAGTGGCATATGCTAATGGATCCACCTGGCAAGGCCCTCGCCAAGTAAGAGAGAAGTGGAGCAAAATTAATGAACTGTGCTGAAACTGGTAATCTAAAGCTTAATGTAGACTAAGAACAGAGGTGCCTTTTTAAAAAGTGGCAGTTAATTCAGTTGCTAGGAAAGGGCAAAGCGTCACACTCTTTCCCCTGGAAATTCCGCTTAGCCTCTGCTCAGTATTTTCCAGTATCTTCTCCAGTTCTGAGTATTATAGGATTGTATTTTATTTTGTTTTGTGGTGAAAGCATTTTGCTGAGAGCCAAAGAAGTATCAACTATAGAAAGCTAAGAGGAGAAGGCTGTGAGACAGGAGTATTCAAAGTGACAGGTATTATTATTCACAAAGTTTGGACTGGAGTCCTCTGGTCCATCCAGGCTGCTAGACAATGGGTGTTCAATTTCTGGATTTCTAAGCAGAATCCGAGAACATGCTCTTTCTCCCTATAAAGATCCTCTTACGTGCTGAATTTGACATGCTTGTCTTCTGAGATTAGGGCCAAGTGGAAATAGGGAATAGAGAATTTGTTTATTCATTGGAATTTTGCTGTTCTCTACTAAATGCAATATATTCTTCCAAAACAGTCTAAGAATGTTGGAGTCAGAGGGCAAAAAAGCAAGGAGGTTCTGCATGGTTCATTTGCAAATTCTTGTGCATCATCTTCCTTCTGTTTTCCCTCCAGGTTGTCTGTGTGGTGTGCCTCTAGTTCCTACTCCTCCCACAACAAGGGACAGATGTCTGCCTGGCAGCGCAAGAGACACCGAGAAGATATCGAGGTATGCTCTTCCTACCTAAGAATTCAGCAAGAATGTTGGGAATAAGAAACGATTGCAGGGAATTAATGAGAGGGATTGCATTGGGAGAATTTGAAGATTCAGTAGGAATCAGTGCATAGAAAGGAATTTGCTGGTTATAAACAGTGCAAATATTTACTAGGGGACATTCTGTATATGCAGTTGAATACATGGGTTTGGAGAGTTTCCCCTCCAAAATTTTAAAAAGCTAGGTGATGGTTCTGATAGATTTATAAAGTCAGACAGGTATCTCATGAGTATACAGCCTTTGTGATGGTGTCCCAGTGTAGCTGACTAAGTTTAGAGTGAAATTGCACCACAGTGGCTGCGTTGTGTTCACCTTTGAAGAACATTAGAAACACTTTGTAAGATTAAATCAGGGGCATAACAACTATCATTCAGATTTTCCAGCAGCCAGTCCAGTGGTACTGAGAAATTTACAAGCAAGGTGGGAACTGACAGCTTTCGCTGTTGCTGTCATTTGATAGAGGTTCACTCCCTTCTGCATAGAGGTTCTGTTTCATTAGCACTATAAATTATTTTAATATATGTATCCTTCTTGAATCTGTTAATCGTTATAGAAGGATCTGCAGTTTTGGCTAGCTCTATCATTGCTGAACCTAAAACATATATGCATATGACCCCCCTCTCCCACACACATAAACTATGCATGTACATTTTACAACTAATATGTAGCAAATTATGTGCACACCTACTTGTTGCCTTAAACTGCATGAATTTGTGGTTTGATTCTGTTTGGTTATGGGGAGAATCAGTAACCAAAGTTCCTGTGCAAATAATTGTTACCCAGATCAGATGCATTACTTTCAAGCCAAAAGGCTTAGAAACTTGCTACAATTTCAAAAACTGAAAAGTTTTCAGGATACTTAGTTTTGAAAGACTCTTCACATTGTCTACAGATAGATACAAGGTACGTGCACACCTACTTGTTGCCTTAAACTGCATGAATTTGTGGTTTGATTCTGTTTGGTTATGGGGAGAATCAGTAACCAAAGTTCCTGTGCAAATAATTGTTACCCAGATCAGATGCATTACTTTCAAGCCAAAAGGCTTAGAAACTTGCTACAATTTCAAAAACTGAAAAGTTTTCAGGATACCTAGTTTTGAAAGACTCTTCACATTGTTTACAGATAGATACAAGGTACATTTAGAACAGGGGTGTCCAACCTTTCACCTTCCCTGGGCCACATTAGAAGATGAAAATTTGGTTTGGGCCGCATATATATTTGGTTTGGGCCGCATGGGGGGGGCAGCCCTAGCCATCCTCCCAAACCCCGCTCCAAGCGCACTTACCGACAGCTGCGATCTCAGACAGCAGAGACTGCCAGCTTCGACTCCGGTGGCTTTATGGGGCTGGGAGGGGGTCCACCTATTGACGGGGGTGGCGCAATGCAGTCACGCAGCCCCTGTGTCCCCTCCCACTCCTTCCTTCCTCCCCTCTCTCCCCCTCTACATGCCCCAGCCACATTCTGGCCGCAAGCGCCGGCAGTGTATCTTGAAACTTTGGAATTCCTTTAAAAATTAAAAATTGCACTGGGCCGCATTACAAGCTGACCTGGGCCGCATGCGGCCCTCGGGCCGCAGGTTGGACAAGCCTGATTTAGAATCTGAGAACTCACCCAGTACTGTTTAAGGGCCTTGCAATGTTACATTTTCTTGCATGCAGATGCGAGAAATGTATCTTGTAGGATTTCTCTTCTAACTCCAACACTTGGTTCGTGTCCTATCTTAGGTTACAACTTGTTTTCCATTCTTCAAAACAGATGCCACTGTTACCTGGCAATGCCCATTACCGGTTTAAGTTACTGTACCCCTGCATCCCATGTCTGTAGCAGTTAGACCTAAGTTGAGTTACACATGCACTCAGTACAAGCAGGCTTGTTAAGGTGGTGCAGAAACGTTTAATTGGTGAAAATTGTGCCTTCCTGGGTATTAGAAGGGGCCAAGTAATGTATGTAACCCCATTTTTTAAATCAGTTTCACAAATTACTGTTGTGTTTCTGGGAACCAGTTAGAGTGATGGTTCTTGTCCTTTTAACCTCCAAATCGAGGTAGGTGATCTCAGAGAGAATCTCCATCAACCCAAGGGGGGCACACCTGTCAAGGAACAGGATGAAAGGGGAAAAGCTGTGGCCAGTTGCAATATAAGTGATTGTGTTGCCAAGGGAGTTTACTTCAGAAGAGCCATACATAGAATTACATTATTTTTATACAGCGGTTCTGAGTATTCAAAATGCATCATCCATTATAACAGTAGTACTTTGCCTGTTAACAGTATAAGAGATCTGCTGGATCAGACCAATGCTTTTCTAGCTCAGCATTCTCTTTCCCTCAGTGGCCAACCAGCTGCCTATGAGAAGTCCACGGTCAGGATGTGAGCACATTAGCACCCTCCATCTTAGGTTGCTCATCAATTGTTGTTTAGGGACATAATCCCTCTGATTCTGAAGGGGCTGCTTAATCACAGGAAAGGGACAAGTAAAGTACAGACTGTAGACTGGATATGTCCCTCTTAGAAGTCTCCCTTTGACCCTTCAAACAGCCAAAATTTGAAAAATATCTCAGAAAGGCCTCTCAATCCCTCTAGGTAGTTCTTGAGGGACTTGCACCATGATTTTGGAAGGCCACTGGATGTGGGCTACTTTCAAAGCTGAAAGCGATTGAAATAATAAGAATGTAGGGTGAAGGGAGACATAAATATTGTACCATTGCCTCTTGCTTCCCTCTGAAGGATCTGGGTGCCTTTTTGAGTGAACATTTTTAGCAGATTTTGGTTGTCACAGGAGTGGTCCTCAGGACACAGGCCTTAAAAGTTGCTCAACCCTCCCATAATGATTCACCACTACAGGTCTTTGTCCCACATGGATTTGTCTAATCGTACCATAATCCTGTACAGATCAAGTCAGGGCATGTCAACATCATTCTTCCCATGGAAATGCAAAAGGAATGGCAAAGTTGATAGCAGTGGTAGGGTTTGAATCCAACTTCTGAGTCTAGGCTCAATCTCTTAGCCACCATGCTACACTGGCTGTTTTATATGAATTGAATGATTAAGTTGTGCTTTAAAGCCAAACACTGATAATGTTTTCTGGATAGTGTACAGTCTGTTAAAAAAAAAGTAATAAAACAACATAGTAATGCTGTCCTGGCTGCTTTCTACTAAGGAAGTATGGGAATGGAGTGCATGAGTCATTCTTAATCTGGCTGTTTGAGGAAAGAGGCAGAGAGATGATTTGTGGATTTGGAGTACAAGCCCATACACGAACAAGAAGATGGGCCCAGAATGTCTGCCTTAATCATTGGTTTGCACTGCATTTATCAGTAAACACAGCTTTTGCTGTCCTTTTGATCCCCTTTCCAGGATTACATCAGTCTCTTTCCACTGGATGATACCCAGCCGTCTAAACTCATGCGCCTTCTTAGTTCCAATGAGGAAGATACTAGTATCCTGTCCAGCCCCAGTAAGTGGAATCACGGTGAGGAAGCTTTCCTGGAACTAAAGGGGGGGCCTAATATCCACGAGTCCTGGAGGCTAGAAATTTGCTGCAACCTGTTCATTTAGCCTTTCTTTAAAAATATAATGTCAAAACAACTCCTAAGTATTTATTGTAATTTGCAGTTCCTCTTACACTGGTTCCCAACCTTGGGTAACCCAGGTGTTCTTGGACTGCAGTTCCCAGAATCCTTCACTACTAGCTGTGCTGGCTGGGGCTTCTGGGAGTTGTGGTTCACAAACACCTGGTTTACTCAAGATTGGGAACCACTAATCTAGAAGAATAAACAAATATGCAGTAAGCAATGAGGAATAAAGAAAAAGTGATGACTTTTTGTTTGCCTCAGGTTAACAACAGATTGAGTCCCTGAAAAAGGTTCTTCGTCCATTTTGAGCCTCTTTTTACAATCTGAAATGACAGATGTAACACACCAGTAGAACAGTTAGAGGTTTAGTTATCAGTCTGTCTTCCATGATCTGAGTGGACTTTCCACTTTCAGAGATGTGTCAACATATTTGATAGGATGTGCAGTGATTTAAGACAAACCATAAATAGAGTATCAATAGTAAAATAGTAGTAATGCAGCGGTAGCAAAATATGAAAGTAGCTGTGAAAACATCAACATGAAAGCAAAACAGCATAAAAGAAAATAAGTGGTCAAAAGTTCAGAAAGCAAAGCACGCTACTTATATACCACTCCATAGCGCTTAAAGCATTCTCTGGGCAGTTTACAAGTAAATTATGCAGGCTACACATTGCCGCCCCCCAGTAAACTGGGTACTCATTTTACCAACCTTGGAAGGATAGAAGGCTGAGTCACTCTTGAGGCAACTACCCGGGATAGAACCCCTGGTTGTAAACACAGTACAGCAGTTTAACCACTGCGCCACATGGCTGCTGAAATGTCTTCAGCTTGTGATGAAAGGATAAGAATGGCAGCACCAGTTGAACATGTTTCAGGGGGAACCGGTGTGTTGAAAAGGCTTTTTTCCCAATTGCTATCTAGTTTGTTTCTGCAGATTGTAGCACACAAAACAAGATCCTCTTGTTTACACCTCTGTGAGATTCATATGTGAATAGATTTCGAACTTGTAACTATGCTAATCTGTGCAAGGATATTGGCAGGAAAAACTGAATAGGCAGGTCTTCTGATGGCTTCACCATAAACTGAGAAAGGCTTTATATTTATGGGTTTTGGTTTTGTAGTGGGAATTTAGATAATGTCTTTCATTAAAATGGAAATAAGTCAATCCCAGGGCCATTTAGACAGAATATTCAGTTAAAAACAAATGGCTTGAGTCATCCCACAGGAGAATTTCTCCAGCAATAGAACAAAGTTGATAAGCTTTATAAAGTACTGGTAGTACAGAACCAGAATAAAGTATGGTATTTTCAGAGCCTCTGGGCTGCAAGATCGAAAGATCAGCAGTTTGAATCCACACAACGGAGTGAGCTCCCAGCTCCTGCCAATCTAGCAGTTCGAAAGCATGTAAAAATGAGAGTAGGTACCACCACGGTGGGAAGGTAACGGTGTTCTGTGTCTAGTTGCACTGGCCACGTGGGCATGGAAACTGTGTACGGACAAACGCCGGCTTTATGGCTTGGAAATGGGGATAAGAACCGCCCCCTAGAGTCAGACATGACTGGACTAAGTGTCAAGGGGAACCTTTACCTTATTGGTCCTCTATTCCTCTCCTGCATCTGGTTGGGAGGCCTGAAAGATCAAGGAGAAGTGTGCATATATGTTTTATAGTGCGCCCTGAGCAAAATGCAAGCTGAAAAGCCACTTTTGAGGTGGGGTAAAAATCACTCACTGCTCAAATGCTTGGATTTTTACAAGTGATTCAGAGATCCTTCTTGGTATCTTATCTTCTTCTTCTGTGAATGTACACATTTGGGTTAAACAGTGCCTGCGCTGGCTATCTCGGAATCTTCTAGAGCTTTCCTGAAAAAGTAAGAAAGTTTAGAATGCCCCTTGCACGCATGCTCCAACCCCCTCAGCCTCCTGTTCCAATTTTTCAAGACCTGTGAGCTTGCGGTTCTTCTTTTTGGTCTCTATGAATCACAAGTGTGTGTTATTTCTGCGCCTGTGCAAAACTCCTTGGAACATTCCAGAGCCCAAAGAAAACCATTAGACCAGCTCCCCTGTAGCATGCATGCTCTTTCAGTTCTCTTTCAGCTATTGCTGAGGAAACTTCTTAGAGCACTATATGGGACCTTTTTTCATTGGGTTGTTGTAAATAGTCTGTACCAGTTCGTCTGTCATCTTATTTCACTTTTTTTCTCCGGAGCAATGCAATTTGGGTTCACCCAAATTAACTTTTACTGTCATAGCAGTGAGTTGGCACTGTTTCCTCTCTGCTTTGATTATGCACAAGGTGATTTACAACAAAAAGACAAAAGAGTATGTCTCCCATGTTTGCCTCCAACTGAGCAAGGGATTTTTGGAATTTGACTTCCTTCCCAACAGAGTTATTGTATTCAATTCTGCTCTCAGGGTAATTGCATTTCACTTCCTCTTATTTTAAAAAATGCTTCTGGTCCTCAGCAGGTGGTGTGAATATATCTACAGCAGACACAGAGAAAGAAAAGTGTTGTGTGGAAAAATGCCTGTCAGGGGTGGAGGTGGGTAGAGCCAACCCCCACCAATAAACCTATAAATTCCCCATCTTTGGTGGGTGACCTACTTTCTCCTGTAGGTAAATGAAGGAATTTTTTCATTCTTGGAGATAAAAAATAGCATCTGGTGGAGGCTTCAGCTTAATCATTTTAGATGTGTTGGCCCTGTGGGCTTTTAAGCATAGCAGAATAATGGTACTTAAACACTAAGTGACAATCCAGATTATCAAGTAGACCTTTTTTACTCTTGGAGAAGCAAAAAGCTCATTGCCTTCATCGTCTTGTAATCTCAGATTCAACAGTTGATCATCACAAAAGAGAAGGAACATCCGATTAAAACACATTTCCTGTTTGGGACCCAGGAAATGAACCTACCAAATGAGCTGGGTTACTGGTCACTAAACTGGGTTATTTTCTTTTCCTTCAGCAGACCGCACAATGAGCAGTTCACTGTCTGCCTCACAACTCCACACAGTCAGCATGAGAGACCCCCTCAACAGAGTCCTAGGTAAGCCTCTTCCTTCAGTTCTAGCGAAGTTACAGATAAAATGCTAAAATCTGGTGACAGGCCTACAGTACCTGGACTGAGTCCATCCTCGTGCAATACTGCTGCACGGACGGCTTTATTTGATCACTGGCTGAGGGACAAAAATCTGTTTCTCAATGTTCCAGTTTGGTGCTGGTGCTAACAGCAAATTATACAAGGATAATAATACTTCACAGCATTCTTGCAGCAGCTGCAGTTAGAATGTGTATGAGAACCCAGAAGCATAAATTATCTCCTTCCTTCCTTCCTTCCTTCCTTCCTTCCTTCCTTCCTTCCTTCCTTCCTTCCTTCCTTCCTTCCTTCTGTTTCTGTCTCTCTATAATTATTATTACTTTTTAAACCAGTGAAATCTGAAACACTTCTCCAGCTATTTGCCTTCTCCTTCCCCAAGTCAAGGAGCAATTATTATGTCTTCCCATTTCTGCTCCCCAGCCAACCTCTTCTTGCTGATCTCCTCCATCTTGGGAGCCAAGACGGCGGGACCACACACCCAGTTTGTCCAATGGTTCATGGAAGAGTGTGTGGACTGTTTGGAGCAGGGAAGCCGTGGCACCATTCTACAGTTCATGCCCTTCACTATGGTGAGCAGCTCCCATTTTTCTGTCATTGAAAATTTATCTGTAGACACCCTGTGTTGCTCTGTATCCTCCCTCTTGTGGTTCTGAATCCTTTTTTTTAAAATGCCACACCTAAAGCACTCTGGTGCATGAAAATACACTGATCTTTGTACTTCAAATTTCATTTTTGGATGGATTCAGCAGGGAGATCCACATGTATTTGGTGACAACCTGCTCTCTGTCAGTGAAAGCAGTACACTGGACCTAAGTAAGTAGGGAGAAAATGTCCTAGTGCATATGCAGCACTTGTTTGATGCAAGCACAAACCACTCTCTAGTATGTAGCTGTCCACTTAGTTAGGGAGACCAGTGTTTCCTGAGCAGTGGTACATGTACCAACGGAAGAATACGGAAGTCACTTAAGATTTACTCCAGACTTTTATAACCATAACTGGGAAATTCACTCTTCCTCAATCTCCACATCCTCTTGCAAGCGTGATGTGCCATCTTCTGCCAATGCTACTTGCCATGGATTATTCATTTGACATGCTAAATATTCACTTTAGATATTCTGTGTTTTTCTTAACCCCTATTCTCCTCCCTAGTTACAGGTAAGTAACCTTTCTTTTTCTTAACCCCTATTCTCCTCCCCACCAGCTTATCATAAATAAGGTGGTTAATAGCAGGAAGAACATAGAAATGTTGTTTTTGGTAAAAATAGGGTTTTTGTCTCTATCATTCTGAGGTGCTTAGACAAAATGTTTGGTAGAACCCATCCAACAAAAGTTGAGAATCACGGCATTAGACAGTCCAAATTACAGTACTTGCAAGAGGGTCTCTCTTCCTGGTTGGTTATTTGACTTTGTTGACACTAGAGGGAGCCTGGTGGCAAGAAGTGGAAGGCAGCTCTAAAGAACCAGTGGCGGGTTACCCTACTCAATTACTTGCCTGTAAAAACCACTGAATATGCAGTGTTAAGTACACATACGTTAAGATGTAACTTTGGAACATTATTGCTCATTCACATGTCATTTTCTATAAAAATACATAATATAGAAATTTGAAAATCCCCACCTTTTTGGATATATATCTAAAGACAGAAATAATTGCATATTTTGCTGCTTGTTTGTTATTCTGTTGAAAACTGTATTGAGTTTGCCTGTTAGAGCTTAATATATATTTTCACCACTTCCAGTTTAATGTAACAAGTCAGCTAGAGACCAGATCTTTATATCTGGCTACAGATAGATAGCAAGAGTTGAAATAAGGAAAGCTAAACTTTGGACTCTTCTTACTAAGTTTACTTCTTTTTGGTTCAGGAATAGTATATAAAAACTAACCTGAACTAAAACAGTGCACTACAAATCCTACAGACAAGACAAACATAACAACCATATTTGTAGAAAAACTGTTTAAAAGGGAATATAATCAGATCCAGTGTGAGAGATTATGCATTTCATGAAAATGGCTAAATTTTGTTTTTTAAATTTCTTAACTACAGAATGTTGATAACCTGTGGCAGTGTAGACCTAGTTAAAATTTCTGGTCTCAGCAACTCTGTTATGAATGAGACTTTTCAAAGGCCAGGTCTCAGTGCTTTCTCTGTTACTATTAATCCCATAATGGGACTGCCTAAGCCAGAAACTTGTGCACATTCTCATGATCATCCTCTTCATGACCAAAACCACTTTTTATCAAGGAAATCCAACACTTCTTTCTCCCTGCTACCAGCAATTTCCAGTTTAGTCTTTACTAACCACCAATCTGTGGAACTGGGTTAATAAAGGCTACTTAAAGGCTGGTGCACTCAGAATGAAGCCCAGGCTGGAGAGTTTGTGCCATTAGCTCCTGAATAAACTACTAATAAATGAAGACATGAGTGCTGTTCTTTCACAGTTTCTTTCAATTCACTTTATAGTCTTTAATATGTAAATTACCTTGAATACCTTGACATAAATATGCACATGCATTCAATATATGTGTGTGTATTAATATATTAAATATATTAGGATTTATATCCTGCCTTTCAGTGACTCATTTTGAAGACAAATAGTGTAATAAATAAAATATACTTACGTGCATGCTATGAGACGTAGGCTAAACCAAGACTTCTGGGGAATTGCTACAAATGAACAGTTTCTTTCCTTCTGATTGCTATGGTGGGAAATGGGTTGCTTGAAACTATCCTTCTTTCATTTGAGCCCTTTCTGTTACTTCTGCCCTAAATGGTTTAGGACCTTGATACCTGGCAAAGCGCCTGCTCCCACCTAGCTCTGCTCATGTCACTTAATCTAGCCAGGCTGGACGGCTGAGGGGCTTGACCCCAAGAGAGGTCTGGAAGGAGAGAACTAGAAACCGGGCCTTCTCAGCAATGGCCCCTCGCCTCTGGAACATCTTGCCCCTTGAGATTGGCCCGGCACCCTCGCTGGGAGTTTTAAAGAACAAGCTCAAGACTTGGTTCTTCAGGCAGGCTTTCCCCCCTTCCATCACTTAGTTCCCTGTGTTTTCCCTCTTTGCTGACTTCTCTTTTTTGTTTGGATATTGTCTGTTTTAATTCTTGGTTTTATTGCTCGGACTGTAAACCACCCAGAGATAGATTCATTTAGAATCTAGATGGGCAGGGTAAAAGCCGAATGAATGAATGAACGAACAAACACAAACAAATAAATACTATTTACTGACAGTACTGTTTCCCCTTGATCACTTTCTCCTTTTTTTACCCCAAGCAGGTTTCGGAGTTGGTGAAAGCATCTACCATGTCTAGCCCCAAAATTGTGTTGGCTATCACAGACCTCAGCTTGCCCCTGGGACGTCGAGTGGCTGCTAAAGCCATTGCTGCTTTGTGAGCATCCCACACCTATAAACATGTTCTAACTTATAGGCTGGTGAATCCTGAGAATAAAATCAGAGAGGTAGGACAACGGAGAGAAGCTGTGTTTATAGATGCTGCGTGCCTTCCTTGCATGTATGCAGCCTACAGAGGCAGGCATGGCAGCAAGAAAAAGAGAGAAGATGAGAGGAGTGTGAGTTGACCTCCAGCTCATTGTGACAGTGCTGTAATGGCAGACTTGGACCCAAAATGGTTGCCAACCTTCAGCAATTATTGATCGTGGTTTTCTCGAACATCACCATTTTTCACCATTGCACCAAGGACAATATCTGAATATGATTGTTAATTATTTTTCTTTTTGCTTTATTGTTTTCTCATTAACTGGATGAAACTTATATGCCTTGTTACAAGTCTCTAAAGTATCATGATTTAACTGATAAGCTTAGTAGTAGTTTCAAAGAAAAGTTGTACAAACCATTTTGAAAAGTTACAATCCAAATACCATATTTCATATCAGATTATTTTCATGAAGAAACTGAGTTTCACACAGTGAACATGAGAATTTAATTATGCCTTTTGTGTACATAGGTTTATATTGGGTTTTTTTATTTTTGTGAATAATGTTTTATAAATAATGAAAAATAAAATTTCTTTGTCCTCTCCCACAAATTAATATGGTGAGTTAATTTAGGTTAAATGCATATCTGCTTACAATGTATATATCTTAACTCTAACAATGTATGTCACTAGAGTGTGACACTGAGCACAAAATTCAATGTCTTGCATCACTCAGCAAGTAGTCAGTGATTGATGAAATCAAGAAGCTAGAGTAGGAGAGGAGTTGGACTCCTGAACACGATTTCAAAGGATCAAGACCTAGGAGTCCTTTCACATCCATGTGATTTGCCAAACCAGAATTATTTGTGCAAACTCAACAAAACAGGTGCAGAATTTATTTTTCTTGGTGTAGAAACTAGACAAGCATCAACAAATTTACTTTGCTAATCTCAAACAGCCGTCCAACTAATATCTTGTAACAACCTCTGTTTTCTGTGAAATTTGTGTGACTTAGCTAAGAAGCTACAACAATGGAGTAATCATTTATTTGAAGAATTTGATTGGCCAAAAGAAGTGGAGTTTTTGAAAATGTGTTGGATCACAGTCCTAAAATCAGTAGTTTGCTCTGGATAAGACTAGATTTCTGGACTAGAATCATTTTATATCAGGAAGTATGTCAGAACTCTCAACACTGGAAATTCCTGAATTTATTAATACCATAGCTCATCATGCCATCTATCTTTCATTGGATGCATGAGTAATAGACAGCTCTCTCTACATTCCTTCTAATTCCTATGACAATGTTAGGGAGGGGAGGTTTTTTTTTTAACGTCCATTTTGATTATTTTGTTGAAATATATTGTGAGAGTCCTGGAGAAGATGAGGATGAGGTAGCTACAGAGTCCATAAGGTTATCAGCACCTGTCTAATGATGAATAGTAGGAAACACTGAAGGCCTTGACAATGCAATACAGGGTGCAAAACAGCCAGGTTGCTTACAGGTTGGGCTTGAGGAAGAAGAGTGTATCTGAACAGTGATAGCAAGGCAGTTCACTGCTGAAATGGAACAGTACCAAGTTTGTTTCCATTTTCTAATATGCCATGCTTGGCAAAAGTTGGGGTACAGAGCGTACAGGTGCAAAGTGTATGTGGTTTACCCCACTTGGTTGCTTCCTTACATGTTGCATAAGAGCATTTTTTGGCAAAAGTACAGCCACGATGACTGGAGTCCTGCTTAGCCTGCAAACAACTTGTGTTCATTTGTGTGGTGGGATTTGTTGTCCCCACATGGAGGGAACTTGTTGATGCAGTTTCCTTATATTAGAGCAGTGGTTTCCATCCGTGGGTAACCCAGGTGTTCTTGGACTGCAACTCCCAGAAACCCTGGCTAGCACAGCTGGTGGTGAGGGCTTCTTGGAATTGAAGTCCCATTGGGAACCCATGTATTAGAGCAGTGGTTCTTAACCTTTGTTACTCGGATGTTTTTGAACTGCAACTCCCAGAAACCCCAGCCAGCACAGTTGGTGGTGAAGGCTTCTGGGAGTTGCAGTCCAAAACTCCTGAGTAACCCAAGGTTAAGAACCAGTGTATTAGAGGGATGGATGGAATTTAACCACCATACTTGGAAGGGTTCATGAATTCTTCCACTCAAACTGACTAAATCAAATATACTACCTATAGTGCTGATACGTGCAATGGTTTAGAGAAGGCAAGTGAAAGCTAGTATCCGTCACCCACTGATCCCAAATGCATTTGTCAAGGGCAACTTTAGGCATTATGTAAAAGTGCTGAAAAGAGAATACATTGAGTGATTAGTTAACCCCCTTCTAGTATTTCTAATGCCTGAAGTGTCATCTTCTGCTACTTTCCCTGTGGGGATGTATCTGAAATCTGGCCCTATGTAATGCAGCAAAATGATGGAATGTGGTAGGATTAGATGGTCAAATGGACCTCAACCACTTCCCACTGTAGTCATTGGATGTCACTCTTTTTCTCACATTGAAAAAGTCCCAAGTGATAGTACAACAGGGAGTAAAGTTTTGGTCTCACCTACTCCCTATTCTATTAGCTTCAGGAAGGTCCTTGCAGTGTTGCATTCCATTTTGTCATTTCATGTATAAACCAAGCATGAGCTGGATATGTGTTTAGAACATGTGCATGTCTGTTGCAGCTGAAATGGCAGGTGTTTTGGACAAGTAAGAAACATGGGAATAAACTGCCTGACTCATTCAATGGATTCTTTGCCAATCCTACCCAGGTACTTCTGTGTATTATCCAAAGACTTCCCAAAAGAAATGTTACTGTATTTGGTCTGAGTCTTATTCCTTCACTATGCTGTCTGTGGTTTAGACATCCTTCCTGATGTCCAAGAGGGAAGGGAAGGAGGGAATTCCTGGGATCTTACTTAGAATACGTAAATGCTGTATAATTCACCAGTGGCACATGGTTGCATTTAATGCTGAGTGTAATTTGCAGGGATCTCCCAAAAGTTGTTCTGTTCAAGACATTGTGAGTGCCATAATGTCTCGTACATTTGACTCAAAATACTTATATGAATCATTGAGTTGGAGACCTCCCCATTTCCCTACTTAATTCAGTGTTTGAAGCATTCTGGATTTGAATGTGATGGATCTGTGACATAAACATGGGATAGGGGAAATTCCCCTCAGCCTAGCTCTGGGAATTGCCGTAATGAATGGAGAAGAGGACAGAGAGAAATTGGGAACTCACAACGATTCCTGTCAGATTTCTGGCTGTTTGTTTGGCTCGCTCATGGCAACAACATCTGTAGTAAGCAGGCAGGCAGCCAGCAGATAGCTAGTTGGAGAGAATCAACCACTTTCTGCATCTGGGAATATTGCTGATCTGCAGTCCAGATGAGGAAATTTGACAGGAACTGTGTTCCAAGCTTGATATGATGGACATCCTTTTGCCTGGTTGGCTTGAGTGTAATATTTTCAAAGAGCCTCTAGTGCATCTGAAAAGCATGCTGCCTTTGCAGTTTGAATAGCGTTTCCTTCCCATTTGGCTGCATGAGGAACCTGCCACGTGACCCAAATAACTGGGCAGGACACCATTTGTCAGCATCGATTTGCAAACTAGTACATCCGGCATCCTCACGGGCTGACTCAAGACACGATGCTTACACATTCTGCATTGGAAACTTCTTACTTGCGTCTTTCTTTGGCTTTTTTTAATTTCCCGCAAAACAGATAAAAATAGTATGATGACTGGTCATCTAATTCTTACATAACTTCACCTCTTGGAGTTGATGCGGCTTTCAAAAAATCATTAATGGAAGCTTTTCAATCGGGGGGTTGGTCAAGGATTGTCCGAGACAACAGTTGATTGACGTCATTAGAGCAAGAGTAGATAGATGCCAGGGTTGTAAATCTGGGGAATGGGATATGATAGAGGCCTCTGGCATGTGAAATGTACATGTCTGTGTTGCGTAGGCTCCAGGATTACAGGATGTGGTAAGAAAGCAAAAGGAACACAGTCTACGTAAAATCTTCAGAGCTTTAGTCACTGTCCCCACCTTGATTTTGTGAAAGGCAAGGGTATGCTTTGGCCCTTCAGATTTTGTTGGATTCTGATTCCCATCAGCCCTGGCCAGTATATTCAAGGATAATGTGAACTGGAATCCTAGCATTAGTTGGTTTCCTACCGTGACAGTAGAGTGATTTGGGACGATGGAGACCATGAAGTGCACAGGGTGACTTTTGAAGAGTCAATATCTCACAGCCCAAACCTATTTTATTTGACTGTTATGAGGATAAAATGGTGGACTACCATCTCCTGCGCTTCTTGGAATAAAGATAAAGAACAAGTAAACATCTCTGATGCCAATAAATGGTGAACCAGGTCAGATATATCTTCCCAGATGCTGAGTGAACAAGGGAGTTAACATATTCACTAGGGGAAAGTGATTATTTTTAAGGAAATGTTTGAATAAATTACTATGAACATGACAGACCTGTGCTCTACAGGGCTTCTGTAGTGGAATCTCTACCGAGTGACCTGCCATCTGAATGTCAGCTGTGTGTCCAAAAGGGAGCAGCAAGACAGAGGGGTCAGTGGGAAACATAATGCAGTTGTCTTTATATAATACTAATGAGGGGTCAAAGCATGTCGGATACATGAACCAAACTAGTTAGAACAATGTGTTCAGGATCCGCACACTGGAAATGCAAGCTACAGTTCAACTGTGGCATTCTGAAGTTATGGTTGGAATCAAACCAAGTTCTGCTATGATCTTGAACTCTCAAATCACAGCTCTTGTCTCATGGAGTGCCTTCTATTTTAATATATATATATTTGTAGACAACAACAACAATGAGAAAAGAAAAAAAGACTGTAGCGAACAGCCCTGCCCTCACCTGTCTATCACAGCAGAACAGTGGAGAAGGAGCCATTGAGAGGACAGAAGGCAGAGCCAAGGGGGGAGGGAGCTGGATATAAAGGCTGGTGTGTAGAGCCTGAGGGGAGAGATTCTGATAGAGAGAGACTGTGTGAAACTTAAAAGTGAACTAAGAGTGAGTTGGAGATCTGTAAGAACGAAGAATGGAATAGAGAGTTAAAAGAGGTTTAAAGTTATAACAGTTTTGATTCAAATACTAGTGATTATCAGTCTGTGATTTACCTATTGAATATTAAATCATATATTAACTTCCCTGATCTAATAAATGACTTACGTTTTAAAAGCACACATGTCTCCATGATTAAAATGGTATTAAAGCAGTAATACCCGGTGACAGCAAAGAGAGAAGAAGAGCAAGAACCTCGTGAAGGCCTGGGGGGATAGGGGCTTCAGAGGAAATCGCCACAAAGACAAATAGTATAAAAATACTGTATACCAAAATAATAAAGAGAAAAATACACATTAGTTACATAGTATCAACTCAGCAAAGATAACTAAATTAGTGCACCTCCAAGAGACAGGAGCTGTGGTCTGAGCTTGAAATGATAGACATCCTTAATCCAATGGAGATACCATACTTCCTTCACAGTCCAATGTTTATGATGCTCCATACCCCTTCTAAAAAGTCATTATCTCTTGTTTGTATCATCATCCAAAACATCTTGACTTGTAGCAACAAAAC